TGAAAGTGTGTTGTGTTGGGGATCTGCTACGTCGAACGGCGATTTTTGTCCTTCTTATTGTTGAGGATGAAGGAGACGTTCTTTCGAGGTTGCAGGACTCATAAGGTCCTTTTTTTCAGTAATCAATTAATAGCTCTGTCGCTACGTTAGGGAGTCATCGGTTTGACTTCTGACCGATGACTTCTTAACGACAGAGCTAATAACTGATTACTAAAATTGAAAGGACCCTATGAGTTCTGCAACCTCGGAATGTCAATCGTATCCCCACCTCTTCGGCTTTCCCATTACGACCAGCTTCTGGGCACCATTCCGCTCACAAAGGTAATTTTTTCATACACCAGTATAACTTTATATGGAAATGTAGGTACATATGTATATCGATAGGTTCTTATAGTTTATGTTGTGAAATGTGAGGAAATGCTGTAAAATATGACAAAATTTGCGCTTACTGTATATTGATCATTGAAAAGTGATGGACTACAAAGATAGGAAAGGTACTCAATTGGAGAAATTTCTGAGAATTTGAGAGTTTTTAAAAATTTTCAAAGTTTTTTTGTGGACTGCACTGCAAATTAGCTATTGTTGATGGTACGTTACTGAGATTTAATTCAGTTCCAGTGGGAAATACAGATACCATTGAACTAAGAAATTTATTCCGGTAGCAACATGTAAAACACCGAAAACCCCTATATTTGGTAGGAAAGTCTCGGTCTCTGATGACAGCATCGCAACGGGAATGCATCGAGTCGATTAGTTTCCGAATGGTAGACACTGAAATAGCGTTATACTGCTCCGCTTTTTCTTCATTGTTTCTACAAGCTTGGTCGAAAAACGCCTTTTAAACTCTTCTAACATGTGCTCTATAGGATTCAAATCCATTGAGTGGCTTGGCCACTCCTGAAGTCTGGTTGGCTGTCGGCTGAAGGCTGCCTTCACAGCTATTGAGGTGTGTTTCGGATCGTTATCCTGCTGCGGGATCTATCCTGTTGGCATGTGGTCCTGTACCCACGGCAGGAATATGTCAATCATCATGTTCCCATAGTACTCGTCGTGCCATCAATTTAAAAAAAGGGTCAATCCGTCTAACAAGGGAAGGATCCCAAGTCGAAGTGGCCATTTGAAATGGGACCTATGCTGCTAGGCGTATTTTTTGATGCTGACTTCAAATCTGCATTCAGAATCTGCCAAACGATTCTCTGAAGGAAGATATGGAGGTGGTCTTCGGAGAGTGCTCAACAGGGGAAAGCACAAAAGCCATGGTCGCCGGCA